GCCAGCTGTTCCGGCCACTCTCGACACACGTCAGCTGGAGGCGTGTGATGGCGATGAGGGGTGCGAGGTATTTTCACGACCTTTGCAGTGGTAAGAACCGCCCCACGAAGTGTGGGACCCTCTCGCAGGGTAATGACCAAGATCGATTTGCTAGTGATGATAGGAATCGCCCCGACCAGCACTTTTAGCGGGGTGCTCTTGCGATGTGGCATGGGACAGCTTAGGTTGCATCCTTTCACCGAGTCTCAGCGAGACTGGTATTCTGTTCGGGATGCGGTCAGAGTTCAACGGCCCTTTTGGAGCCCGTGGGCTTGCTTTTTGCCACTTGTTTTCCCTTTTGTCTACGCGCTGCAATGCTCGCGACATGGGCTATTTCCCTTTGCCGCGCTTTCACGTGACCTGCAAGCGTCTTTGGTGGTTGTACCGCCGCAGCTGACGTGGATGGCATGCCTTGGTCCAAACGGTCTAGCCTTTGGTTGATCGTCTGGAGAGTATTGTCAAACCTCTCTAGGTAGCTTTTGATAACAGGGTCAAGCTGTGAACTTGACGGGATATCTCCTGCAGCACTTGGTGGGGCTGGAGGTTTTCTGGAAGAGGTGTCCCCCTGAACTTGGGGGAGCCCCTCAGTGCCCTGGTTGGTCTGCTCAAGTTCTGGTTGGCAGGCCATTTGTTGCTGTAGGACCGATAGGTTGGAGATTCTCCTGATGAAGGATGAACACTAAATCAGCCCTTCCTCTAGTGCAAACGATTGATGCACGATTTTGACACCAACTAAAAGGACGCGTGAAATGTTGAGTTGCCCCCAAAAGACACATGTGAAAGGTTATTTAGAAAAATGAAAGTAAATGTAGTGAGAAAAGAGTTTTAAAGTGGTTCGGATGCTAAGGAAGCAAATCCTACGTCTACTGATATTTTTATTTATGAGGGCGGTCAGGTCGCTTTAGATGGCTGACTTTACATTGATGATACAAGGTATCGAAGATTGTCTTTTCTAGAGCGAGATTTTTTTTTCTCAAGAGTAAAATGTGCCAATCCCTTTAATGAGAGAGGAACTCCCATTTTATAGTGGGATGTCTTGAGGCAATCATCACTAAATCTGCAAGTTGGTGAGATGATCTGTGCAAATCCTTTGTTTAGAGTAATTCACGTGATTTGCCACAGGGGTTGGACATGCGGGATTACCACATCTCCTTGCTGGCCTGACGTGCACCCATTACTCTAACGAAAGGAAGTTGTGGGTGCCACCATGATCACACGAAGCAGCTGCGTTAGGATGGCAGTAGGCTCTTCCCAAGGCCTGATCTTGCGCACTTACCAGGGCGCCACGTCATCCTTAAGTTCCCAGGCATAACAAAAATAAAACTTTCTGGAAATTAAAAAATATATATTTCAAAGTTTAGATGTTGTGAGTGGTGGCTATAATACATACATATAAAAGTATATAATACAAATTTTACATTTGTGATTTACAAGTTTCACGTCATAAAATTTACAAGTTTTACATTAATATATTATTGCAACCACGTACTATAACAGAACCCATGTTGTGGGTTGTCAAAAAAACTAAACTACCGCGTTTACATGTTTAAATTTCAAACTAATACATATAAATGATTTGTTTCAAGTATCCAAGTTAAATATCCCACTCAAAATAGTAACTCAGATCTTATCTCTTCCAAACCTAGTCTCTGCCCAAAAAATTTAGTTTAATTTTAAAATTTTGAGTTAACGACATGTTCCCACCCAAAAAATGGTCTATTGACACTTTCCTAAAATACCTTTTTACTATCTAAATAATATGTTTCTCTCTTATTTGAGAGGGAAATATATTGATTTACGAAAAAACCATTCTTCTTAGCCTCTTCCATTGCTTCTCCTCTTAGCCTTTTCCATTGCCGGTAATTGCTGTCGGCGTTGGGGAGTGCTAGCGACCAAAAAATATTGCAAACAAACATTCTTTATTTGTATTTCAACCCAACAAACACAAAAGTTGAACGAATCAAACCTAATTAATCCAGTTAAAACTGGAAAAACCCTAGGGTGGGGAAGCTTCAACTGCCGGTGATTGGTGAGCAAACATGATAGAGAATGTTGAGGCTTTTAGAGAGGAAGATCCAGAGAGTTGATTGGTGGTGGTAGGGATGATTTTCGACACCGGAAACGACCGAAAATCAGCTTGGAAGTTGAAAGGTTGCGAGGTGCATGACTGACGATCGGCGAGCAAAGGACGGTGATGGAGGTAAAGGTTTTGTAGAGTGGGTTGTGGGGAGTGTGATGGTGGTGTTTGGGGGAATTTATGGCAAAGAAATCGACCGAAAATCTGGCTTGAAGGGTTGGCCGTGCGAATGGAGGTGGTGGTGGGAAATGGTGAGTGATGATGGCAAATGGAGGCTTGGACTTTGTAGAGGAGGTGATGGGGATTCTGTGGGTGGTTTCAGAAGTGATTTTGAATGTCGAGATTGGCCAGAAAACGGCAAACCCACCGGTTGTGAATGCTGTTAACTTGCGCCATCCCTTTTTCTTTTCTTCTTCTTCGGCTGCCAATGTTTGTTGACCATTCTGCCCTCATTAATAATGGAATTTTGATCATTTTGCCCTTCCTCACAACAAAAATTACCAACAAAATTATGTTTTGGGTACTAAAAGGGTATTTAAATAGTGGGTGGGTATGAATTTGTCAATGGGCCATTTCTTGCGTGGGAACATGTCTGTAACTCTAAAATTTTAGTGTAGTTTTAAAATTATAGTCCATTTTGTTCAAAAACTTAATTGTTTTCCTCGATAGTTATTTGGCTTTCAAATGACTTTTCATCTTGTGGTTTGAGTTGTAGTGTAAGCATTTTCTTTTAAAAAAAATTGAACATAAAGGAAAATGAGGCTATTAATTTCGTTCGGAAATACAGGAATTCAAATTTTCAAAAGTAGACCAACTTCAAATTAAAAATCACTTCAAAGTAAAGATCACAAATGAATAACTAAAGATTGCATTTTACAATTTTTTTTTCTTCTTTGCTATCTTTCATTTTTATAAAAAAACCAAAAAAAAAAAAAAATTCCTATGTTCTTTTTATTGACACACCGCTAATAGACTAAAGAAATCTATTTTTTAAGACACCATATTTCAAAGTTTTAAAATTAAAATTAAAAATTTTCCTTATAGCATCCCATAAATTCTATAAATGCCCTTCATTACATCATTATTATTAAAATAAATCTCAAGAACATGATACTGTTAGACTTTTACATTATGGTCCTACACTTTTAATATAATTTTATTGCTCCTACACTTTTATGCTGATGTGGACTGATGTGGTCATACGGTTGTGTCTCTTCTCTTGGGCAGTTGTTTTTAATGGAAAGACAACTGCATATAAAAAGGAGACTTTATAGGTCCCCATAAGATGCAATTTTTATCTCAGATTCAAAAAAAACCATCACTTAAAAATTGCAATCAGTGGAAGATCCTTTATTTTGAAGAAGCAAGAAGATTAAACAACAATTGCTATGGTTGGAGATTTGTCATTTACTTCCGCATATATTCCATGGAGATTTTATATTGCAATTGATTGTATTATCAACTTTTATATGAATATTGGAATATGAATGTATTTTATAATTGGTATCAGAGCATTGTTTGAATCTTTGCCTAGCATGAAGTTGTTTGTTGCAAATCTGAAAAATATTGCATAAAATTAGGATTTTTTCCAGTAAAACCCATACTGTAAATCAAGCATAACTTTTCTTATAAATAGAATATGTTTTCGATTTTGGTGTCATTGGAATCCTTGTTGAAAAAGCTTTCCAATGGTATATTATTTTCAAAAACGGAGTTCTAGATGCAAAGTTATGCTAGTTTAAATTTTTTGTTAGAAATTATTGTTTGGGTGTTTTTGGAAGCCATTTACGGCACTGATTTAGGACGAAATTGTAATTTGGGATGTCACTGATATAGGTTATATGTCCACATTCAAGTTTCCCCTTTAAAAGGCCAGAAAAATGGCTGGAAACAAGTTGTTAAAATCTGCAAAAAATTGGGTAAAAAGTTGCAGAAACGGCTCAAAAAGAACCGACCCAATAGGATAAACAGGTCAAACTGACCTGGTCAAAGTCAATAGTCAAAACGGGTTAAACGACCTGGTCAAACATGACCAAAACCCGATAGGTTAACCCGACCCGGTCAACACAGTGAATGGCTTAGATCGGTCAACGAACCAGTCAACTGGTCAGTCCGGCCTACTTGACCAAACCGGGTCAACCCGACCTAGCCAAACGGGTCAAACCGACCTAGGTTCAGACCCGGCATGTGAGGGAGCTTTTGCTTGTGTCAGGCGCATGGAAATGTGTACCTAGGGGCGTGTAAGCACGTGACGGAGAGTGGTGTGCCGTGAAGGCATGTGGGACTGTGTGCTGTCTTCTAGCAGCACATGAAGGCGCGTGGGGACATGTGGTTTAGTCACAGTGGCGCGTGGAAGTCGGTGACAGCTTGTATGATGGTTTTTTTTATGTCATATATTGCTTTGTTATGCATAAACAATGTGTTATTCTTGTATTGATTTATATTATATTATATAATTCATGTTATAAATTATTTGATATTTTATGATCGTATATATTTGATTAATATAGAGTAGCCACAACATCTAAATTATGATAATATATGCATTAAGTAATATTAGTTATGATCATATTAAGGTTAATAACATCGTTTTGTAGTTAATCATATTAGTATAATCATTTTACCCACAGGGAATGTTATATTTTCATGATTAATTAGGGATGAAATAGAAATTATTCTTATTTCTTAATTAGCCCACAAGTATTATGAAATATTAATAATTTCTAGTTTCATCATTAAAGGATAATGAATCATAATATGTAATGTCTTTACCCACAGGGAGATTTTATGATATGTCGATTCATTTATGATTTATTATTTGTTTTACATTGGTAAACTTACAATTGTTATTGATGGTTTGTGCCTCATAATTTATTTAGTAAGCATGTCTATTGATATATCTACAGTTGATCAAACTTTGATGATGGTTGAGGATAAGGTTCCTAGTTTAAATGGTGATAATTACAAATCCTGGAGAGAGGCTGTCCTTCTTCATTTAGGGTGCATTGATCTTGACTATGCTCTTCGTAAGGAAGAGCCACCTACACCTACAGATACAAGTTCTCAAGCTGAGATTTCTTTGTATGAACGGTGGGAGCGATCCAACCGTTTAAGCATGATGTTTATCAAATCTCACATTACGACTAGTATCTGTGGGTCGATACCAGAGTGTGAAAATGTCATGGATTTGATGGATGCAATTCATGCACAGTTTGAAACATCAGACAAGGCATTAGGTAGCATCCTAATGAGCAGATTGACATCCATGAAGTTCACTGGTATTAAAGGAGTCCGTGAGCATATTATGAAAATGAGGGACATTGCTGCTCAGTTGAGATCCCTTCAGATGGTGATTAATGATGATTTCTTGGTGCATTATGTCTTGAACTCTCTCTCGTCTCATTATACTCCTTTCAAAATATCTTATAACACACAGAAGGATAAATGGTCAATCAATGAGCTTTTGACCATGTGTGTTCAGGAGGAGGAGAGACTGCTTCAGGAAGTGAATGAAACTGCACATCTGGTGACAGGAAATGTCAAGTACACTTCAAACAAGAATAAGAAGTGGAAGGGAAAAGGCAAGCTGCATGAGGTTATGAGCAAAGGTAATAAGGACAATATCAAGTGTTTCTTCTGTAAAAAGACGGGACACATGAAGAAGGATTGTCCTAAGAGGAAGGCCTGGCTTGACAAGAAAGGTAACCTCTCATCTCTTGTGTGTTATGAATCTAATATGATTTGTGTTTCACATAATGATTGGTGGATTGATTCTGGTTCTACAATCCATGTTTCTAATACCATACAGGGTTTTCTGGATCAAAGGAAGCCATTAGGAAGTGAATGCAGCATCTATTCAGGAAACAGGATGCCTTCACGTGTTGAAGCTGTTGGAACTTTTAGACTTATTTTAAGTACTAATTATGTTTTGGATTGAACTACCTTTTATATCCTAGTTTTTCTAGGAATTTAGTTCCAGTTTCTAAACTTGTACCTTGTGGATAATCTTTCAACTTTTATGGTAGTTCTTTTATTTAGTTAAGAACTCATCTATTGTTGGAATGGTACTTTGGTGATGGTTTGTTTAAAATTCATTTAAGTGATACTGTTCCTTATAGTCTTATGACTTCACATGCTAACACTGGTATGAAACATACTATTATGTGAAAACTCTTCTTTTTGTGGCATAGGAGATTAGGACACATCTCCATTGATAGGATTAAAAGGTTGGCAAATGCTGGAGTTCTGAACTCTTGACTTTACTGACTTGATACTTGTATATACTGCATTAAGGGAAAGTAGACTAACAAATCCAAGAAGGGTGCCAAGAAGAGTTCTGAACTTTTAGAAATCATACACACAGATATTTGTTGCCCTAACATGAGCTCTAGTGGTCATAAATATTTCATCACCTTTATTGATGATTACTCACGATATTATCTCTATTTGCTTTATCACAAGGATGAAACGTTGGATGCTTTCAAAATATATAAAGCAGAGGTAGAGAAACAATGTGGAAAACAATTAAGATCGTGAGATCTGATAGAGGTGTGAATATTATGGTAGATACACTGATCAGGACAACACTTGGTCCATTTGCTAAATTTCTTCAGGACAAGGTATTGTGGCTTATACACCTTGCTTGGCACACCATCTCAGAATGGTGTGGCAGAACGAAGAAATAGACATTAATGGATATGGTACGAAGTATGCTTAGTAACTCCAAACATCCTCATTCTTATAGGTTGAAGCTCTCAAAACTGCAGCGTATATATTAAACCGAGTTCCACTAAGGCGGTTTCCAAAACACCATTCGAATATGGAAGGGCTGAAACCAAGTTAAGTCATTTACGCATCTGAGGTGCCCAGTTGAAGTTGAGTTTATAATCACAAGAACGGAAGTTCGATCCTGGGACTATTACTGCATATTTTATTGGATATGCAGAAAAATCCAAGGGATATAAGTTTTATTGTCTGAACATTCCATAGAATGTTAAATCAAGAAATGCCAAATTTCTTGAAAATGATATGGCAGTGGGAGTGATCAAATCAGAGACTTAGTCCCTGAGAAAATTGATGTTTTAGACAATGCTCCTACATTAAGAAAGATTGGTTGTTCATCCAAATAGGGTGAATATGAGGAACCACTATCAAATCCACATTCTGATGAGATTGTTTTAGAAGATCATTTTGAACAACCTCCGCTACAGGAGAACAACCAATTGTGCAACAGTCTTGAGACGGTTGCTATAACATTAGGGAGATCTACTAGAACAAAGAGATCAACAATTCCTACTGATTATGAAGTGTATATGCAAGAGTCTGACTATGACATAGGTATTGAGGAGACCCAGACACGTTTTTACAGCTATGAACATAGTAAATCTGGGTTGTGGAATATTGTCATGATAGACGAGATGAATTCTAGGGCGGATATGAAGTTTGGGCCCTTGTTGAGTTCCCTACTGGAAAGAAACCTATTGGTTGTAAATGGGTATTTAAAACCAAAAAGGATTCATTAGGCAACATTGAGAGATACAAGCTAGACTTGTTGCCAAGGGGTTCACGCAAGAAGGAATAGATTATAAAGAAACATTTTCTCCAGTTTCTAAAAGGGATTCCTTTCGTATCATAATGGCATTAGTTGCCCATTTCAATTTAGATTTACATCAAATGGTGAAAACAACTTTTCTCAATAGAGATTTGGAGGAAGAGTTTATATGAAACAACCTATGGGTTCATTCAAGTGATGGTGATCATTTGTTTTGCAAGCTTAAGAAGTCCATTTATGGACTTAAACAAGCCTCCTGATAGTGGTATTTAAGATTTCACACTGTTACTCTTCATTTAGTTTTGTAGAGAATGTCATGGACAGTGTATATACCACAAGGTCGTGGAGTAAAATCATCTTTCTTGTGTTTATGTAGAATATTTCTACTTGCAACCAATGATTTGGGTTTGCTACATGAGGTGAAACTTTCTCTCTCAACATTTAGTATGAAGGATATGGTTGATGCGTCTTATGTCATTGGCTTAAGATTCATAGGGATAGGTCTCAACATATTTTGGGACTATCTCAGGAAGCCTATATTAATAAATTCTTGAGAGATTTAGGATGAAAGATTGTTCACCTAGTGTTGCACCCATTGTAAAGGTGACATGTTCAATATGAACCAATGTCCTACACTTGAGATTGAAAAGAAACAAATGAAAACTATGCCTTATGCTTCAGCTGTTGGAACCTAATGTATGCTCAAGTCTGTACTAGACCTGACATTGCTTTTGCGTTGGCATGTTAGGAAGATATTCTATTGCTTTTGCGTTGGCATGTTAGGAAGATATTCTATTGCTTTTGCAGTTGGCATGTTAGGAAGATATCAAAGTAACCTCAGTTTTGGATCATTGAGAGCTGCAAAGAGGTCATGGTATCTTCAAGGAACTAAGGTTTCATGCTTACTTATAGATGGTCCGACATTTTAAGTCGTCAGATATTCAGACTCAGACTTCGTTGGTTGCGTTGATTCTCGAAAATCAACATTGTAATACCTGCTCTCTACTACTGTTCAGATAATGCATACATGCAAATTATAGACTACATAGCGTATGAAAGATAGTGGGCTCAAACTTTTCTTTACTCATAAATATAATTTTCTACATGTACAAAGTACTCTATATTAAATTTTTCTACTAATACAAAATATCATAACTAGTGGACAGTAGTGCCAATACTCTCCGCTCCTTGACGTCCATCCGGCCGCTGCTCTTGATTCCTGCAAAACGGAAGAACGGTGGTGGAGCACAACAATGCTCATATAGAATCCTCTACTACCTGTCCTCACAACTCACTCTTTGGTTCTTTCCTTACTCTACCTTTCTTTTATTTCTATTTCTCACTGTTTTTCTCTTTCTTGCTAATACTTTTATTCTCCTTTAACTCTGTTCTGCTCTTTTATTCTTTCTTTCTCTCTGTTCTCTCTTTTTTATTCTTTCTTTCTCTTTGTTCTCATTTCTTTTCTTCTTCTCTTATGCTTACTCACCATGAGAATCTGGTTCTCTCTTATTCCATCATACTCACTATGAAGGAAAATCATGGTTCCTCTTATGCTCATCATACTCACCATAAAAAAAATCATGGTTCTCTCTTATGCTCTCATACTCTCACTAACCATGGAAGAATCATGGTGCATGCATGTATGAGATGTATATGCAATTAATGCAAGAGAACTGCATGTTTCTTTCTTCTACTCTCATTCTTACTAGCTCAAACCCTCTTCTACTCATTCTTTCTTAAGCTTTCTCATTCTAATTCCTCTATATCTCATTCCCATTTCTCAAATTCATTTCTACTACTCGCTCTTTGAATGTCACGGTCCCATCTTACCGAGGCACGGCCGAGACTTCTCCCGCTCTACGTGACTTCTACTGATTCTCTTTCTGTCTCTCTTTCTCATAACTCTTTTCTGTTAACTTCCTGCTGTAGGTCACGACCTCATCTTCCGGAGGCACGGCTGGGTACTCATCCCACTCTTCGTAACCCTACTCATTGTCTCTCTTTATTCTTGCTCATGTTTGCTCATTCTTCCTCACTTGCATGTCACGGCCTCATCTTACCGGAGGCACGGCTGGGTGGAGATCACAACACCAACCGACTCTTCATGACTTCTACTCATTCTCTGCCGATCGGACTCGGTCATGCATGGATCGGAACCCTTGGCCACGTGATTGTATTCTCTCTCTCTCTGAATGTCACAGCCCCATCTATCGGAGCACGGCTGGAACTTCATGTTCCACTCTTTGTGACGGTCACGGACTCATCTAACCGGAGGCACGCTGGGGATCACAAAGCCCCCACTCTCATGACTTTACTCATCACTCACGTTCCCCATCGCACAACCTACTCTATTCTCTTCTATAGCACTTTTCTCTCTTTTATTCGCTAGTGCTCATCTCTCTTTCTCTTTACTATTAGAGTGTCTCATTCTCTTTACTATTAAGAGTTGCTATTCTCAACATTCTCTCCTCTTCTCACTCAAACTATTACTCATAGTATCCTTATACTCAAAATTCTCTACTCTTGCTCAAGCTAATATTCATCTCTTCCTCAAGCTAGTGCTCATAGTATAACTTAACTCTTAAAGTAGTCTATTCACAAGGTTCTCTACTCTTTCTTAAGCTACTTCTCAATGCACAATTAATGCATATGGATGGTTCATGCTCATTATGCACTTATGAAATGCCAAATGCAATATTGTATCAAACAGTCATTCTACGCAAGTCACACTCAAGAGGGCATACTTGATTTATACACTTCGATTGCTACAGTTTTGGTCTCGTTTAAAAGCTTAGAGACATGGCTA